ACTACCACCACTACCACCACTTCCACCACTACCACCACTACCAGTACTACCACCACTACCAGTCACTACCACCACTATCACCACCACTATCACCACCACCACCACTACCACCACTACCACCACTGCCACCACCACCACTCTTTACCAGCTTTCGTTGCTAAATTATTAACTTCTGGATTATTGGACCTTTTACGGGGGAGCTGAGTGCTGCAGGTGGTCGAGCAGCTCAAGGCCGCGGAGGAGAGCGGCGAGGCGTGGAAGCTCTTCCTTTTCTCACTCGGCTCAGAAATTCAGCTCCGCAAATAGTTTTTAATCCTAATATGGTTGTAGCAATATTCACAACAATTCGTCATCATAGTGATATGCCGATATGCCAAGCATGATAACAGTAGTTCAGCAAGTGGAGATGAGTTTGGTGGCTATTGTGGGGACAGCTGATCTCGTGTGACTTGAGCTCGGTTGCGGAAGTTGGAGGGTGTTTTGGGCTGCAATCGAGGAACTTCCCGAACGAAAAAGTGGCCAAGCAGCAATCACAATAGCAATATTCACAAGCATGATTAAAATTGCCCAGATTTGTAGTAAAGCGGTAATCATAGTAGCTGTAATGACAGCAGTGAGAAATGACGTTCAAGCAGTAGCATAGACCGCCTTCGCAGAGGTAATGATATAAAGTCATCATGATCAGCATGTTCTCGCAAGACTCCCCGATCATGTTAAGCAGCCCCATGCACCCAACTCGTAGCAATACGGTGCATTGTTCCTGCGACTTGTTGTTTAGCATGTGGATTTCAGGGTTTAGGGCTTTGACAATGAGGGCAAGCTTTTAGGCTTGACCTCTGTGACGCCTGAGGACAAAAGCCTGTACCAGCGGATGCTGGTGCAGCTCCGAGCTTTCGATCTGCATTTGCGTAGCATCGGTTCTGTTGACACATACGGCCGTCCGTCCGCATCACTTCATGCTTTTCGAAGACGGTGGGAACCCGGTGACTTTTTAGGTTTCGATCTTTTAGGAAGTATGTCAGTATGTCTGGAGTCTAGAGTCTACAGGTCTGACCTGCCAAAAGCCGTCTTATTTGCATGTCTCGGCCGCGTGCTTCCTTTCAGTGAGGCGTTCTGTTTCTGGGGGCTGTCTCCTGGTCGGCTCGGATGTTGCATCCACGATTCAATGGCTTGATGTCTTATGTTTGGGAGTGGTGCGCTCTCATGATTCAGCCTTTGCTCGGATGAGGCTGAGCTCATCCGGAAACTCAAAGACATCGACGAGATGACTGAGGTGAGATTGCCGGCCAAGGTTTCTTTTGCGAAAGACGCTTCAAGTCCAGTGCCGATGTGTTCTTTGCACAGAGATCTCTGTTTTGGGTGCATGCGACAGACCTGTTCGAGCCATACTTGCAGGCACGCGCAAAGCAGCGGGCCGCAGCGGCGGCCAGCTAGTGCCCAAGGCGAAAGTAGCTCCCTATGTACGGACACACTGAAGAATGTGCAGCACGATTGCGCCCATGCTTGCCTGCAAGATTTGTCTTCTTGTGTCGGTTGTGGTTAGCCCCTTTGCATCGTGGTGCTGCCGGCTAAGATGCTGCAGCTGCAGCGGCAGAGGAGGCAGCGGAGAGGGCGAAAAAAGCCCAGGAGGACCGGCCGGTGCTCGGCCCAAAACCTCCAGGCAGCGCAGTTTGCCAGACACCCGTAACGATGAGTAGCCAGCGTCATGACACTCGTGGTGTTGGTCGTTGCCATGGTCGCAGTTGTTGCTTCTGTAGCTATAGCTGTTGTTCTCTGTATTGTCATTCTTCTTGGCTGCTGCAGCTGTCGTTGTGTTTCTGACAGTGTTACTGCGGTTGTTTCACTATTTGTTGATAGTACGTGCTCGTGTACCATGAGTGCTGCTAGTATGACTATTACAACTGTTGTCGATGGTGCATGTCTTGATTTGTTGATCTTGTTGCTACAGCTGCTGCTACAGCCCCTGCTGCTACAACGACGACGACTACTACCACTACCACTACCAATGCTAATGAAGAGTAAAGCCAGCAACATTGACATCTTGTCGCTGTGTTAGCTGCTCTTCTTAGCTGCCTTCTTAACAGCTACAGCTAAGCAGCGAGAAGGGTAGAGACGATGACGGGAGCAGTTTATCAGGATGCTTACGGTTACTATGTCATGTTCAATACGAGTGTGATTGTTCTCATGTGCGCAGTTGCTTTCTGATGAATAGCGATTATCCTAATGATACTCATGTTGTTGTTGATGATGATGATAAAGATGATGATTTTGATGATGGAGCTGACGATGATGGAGTTGAGAAAGTTCTTGATGAGACTGGTGGTTCTTGCAAATTATTGCAACGCCTCCTCTGAATGTGGTCGCATGGTGGGACGTGGTGCAGTGGATGCTTCAGTTTCGAGGTTTTCACAAGCAGTTGTGCCTCTGATTCTGAGTCTTGGAATCCTTGCCCCGGTGCGAGGTGCCTCCAAGGCTCCGGAGGGCCTCAGACCGCCGCCCCTGCCAAGGGACCGCCTGTAACTCTGCTATTGCCCTCGGGTTTGTACGATCTCTGAGACTCAGTTGCCTTGACATTCTGATTCGCTGTTGTCAGTGCAGGAGCAGCATCATCCACTGCCGCCAAAGCAGCAGAGGCAACATCCACCTTCCCACACTGAACGCTCCTAAGCTGTAGATGCCAGATGCAAAGGGTATGGACTTGTAGCTGGCACTTGCAGCCTGTGCAGGGAAAAGGTGGTCAGCGATGCCAAGGCGAAAGCGTGCCTTGTTGCTCTGGTGTAGCTTGACATTCTGGCGCAACCTCCCACGATATTCAGCCAACCTGCCCAGCCCGAGCTGCGACCTATTGCTCCTCGTCCGGGACCGCCTCCGGTACTGCCGCAGAGGCGGCTCCGGCTGCTGCAAGCTCAAGCGGTTGAACTGCGGGATTTGGGAGTTCTTCGTGAGGGTGCTGAAGAAGAGTTTCGCATTCGAACGTGGAATTCGTAGGCAGAGAGGCTTGCTATGGCTTGCTGTTTCCGAGCTCGTAGATGCGCAGAGCCGGACTTTCAGAGGGAGTGGTGGCACAGATTCCGCAGTGGTTGCCTGCAGGTCAGTCGGGAAGCTGATCCCGCCCAAACCGAGCAAGCCCATGTGCTCGCTGCTGGAAGTGCTGAGAGTCTTAGCCATTGCGACTACTTCTGTAAAGCCCAGCAGTAC